GCATTTTAAATTTGGAGGGAGAGGTGGGAAAAGGTCTCTGGTAAAGATGAAGATTTTCTGAGCGAGCATATCAAAGAGGTCTTGTGGTTTGTATAATGATTGTTTAGGACTGACCTCGGAGATACGGATCGATCCTTACCCTGGCTTTGCTGGGTTGAGCTATCCTGGCTCTCATTTTCCCTTTTGGGGATAGATGTTTGATGCTTATTTTGAGTTTGATAGTTCGATAGAAATTTGATTGTTGCTATGACCCTGAATTTTGATCAATTAGTGGCTGCTTTTGCCTTTTAAGGAAGGCTTTGTTGGTTATCTTCTAAATTCCTGCTGCCACGTGTTCCCTGCAAGCCTTTCATTGTTTGTCTGCTCTTCATTATCATGCCCTCAAATTCACTAAAAGAAAATCCTTTTAAGATATCATGAAAAAGCGTACTTTGTAATTTCTGCTATACACATGATTTTTACAGTGGTAATCTATGGTGAGATATGATGTGGGAAAACTGATTGCACCTTTTATTCAGGTCGAGTTTGCAGGAGGTGCTTTGCGTTGCGGTGAGTATGTAACATTACGGAAGATAAGTGATTTCACTCAGAAGGTAATTCTTTTGAAATCCCTCGCATATTTGTATTATATTAGTATGAAAAATGTTCATTTCTATGATTTTGCATCGTGGTTCATGACATTTGTAGGGCGGCACTGTAGCCCAACATGTGATCATCGAGGGTCCTTTAACCGAAGAGTACTATCAGATAAGGGAACTTCTTTATTCTCAGTTTTACTTGTTTTAGCTTGGAAGCATTTGAAAACTATTCTTTTGGCCCTATGAGTCCATGATTCTTAGTCGAAAGCTCCAGTTAAAGTAGGTTTGCAGTTCACTTTCTGTTGCATATTAAACTTATCTTACTGCTTGCGGATCTCTTGGCAAGACAATTTTGCTCAAATTTCAAATCAGTTAACTAATTTAAGCCGAGATATTACACATCAAAGACAATTTTATTGAACTTGGTGGGATTTGAAGATTCAAGTAGATAAGAATTCTTATGTTGTGAAAGAAGCCTCATTGTAACTAGGGAAGTTGTACTGAATATGTGAATCTAATAGAGCTTATGAAATGACCTGTAGCATTCCCTAAGGTTTTAAAAACTTGTATAAAACATTTCCTAATACGAGTTTAGACGTTGTAGATTAACTAGCATGATGATTTTGTAATAAATTTGTGTGGTTTAGGAAAAATTTTTGCGGGCCCTGGAAGCTGTTTTAGTTGATGAGCAGAGTAAATTTTGTGTTTGGTAAACCTTTATTATCAATGTTTAGCTTCTAGTGGTAATGATTACTAAATTTGAAGCTACTATTGCATACTGCTGATATTTAATTATGTCATGCTGGTTTAGACGGTTTAGTTAATAGGTACAAAAGTGTGCATTTAGATTTTATTTGAGTCAATTTTTAATTATTATAAAATTAATTTTTAGTAAAAAATATTTTACTTTAAAAAATGTGTGTTAAAAGTTGTTTTCGAAAGTAGTAGGAAAGTTGTTCCAAACAAATCGTTAGTATTGGGCTTCATTTGGCATAATGTTTTCTTATATAAATTTTAAGAAGAAATTTTTTATTTATAGAAAAATGTTTAAATTTGTTATTTTTGCTTGCATTTTTTAATGATTTTATGACTGAAAATTGACTTAAAAAATAGTTTTTAATTATATGAAAGCGGATTTTACATGATGTAACAGAATAAAAACATAACATTGGTACTGTTAAATTGGCAATTTAAGAAGCTTTAGAAATAAAAACATAATACTGAGTTCATTTTTATTTTCCTTATAACAGTTCATATTCATATAAATTAGTAGTTAAGTATGATTCTTCAGGAGTTCAAAACTTATCTGAACAAAATGATTCTTGAAAATTTTTACAGTTTCATCCACTCTAAATATATTACAAGAAGTTTGTATTTTTTTATGAATGTGGGACTATCTGGATCTGTCGCATTATCATGCATGAATTCTAGGTGAATCGAATAAAGTAGCAGAGTCTGGAATACCTGTTTGTAATTGATTTAGATTTAAGGTTTATTTGAAACAAAATAAATACAGAGGTTTTTACATTCCTGTAGTTTTTTTATTTCAGCCAGGAAGAGCATATATTTGATGTTGGAAGTGAAAGGTAAGCTTCTTGACTTCTTGTCACTCTTACTGTAGCTTTGAGGCCTCACATGTGACAGTTGTGGTAAAACTGAAGCTAGGGCATCAATTGAATCGATGATTTTGAAAAAAATCAGTAAGAAGAAGATTTCAATTTGTTAAAAATAGAGCAATTTCTAGTCTATCTTGTGAAAATTTATAAAAAATGTTAAAATACCAAGAACTCTTGTGTCTATAACAAACAAAAAGTTTATAAGATGTAAGTTTAATGGATATAAAATTATCCCTATTTTTATGCTATGAATTTATAATTTTAATAAAACAAATCCTAAAATAGATAGTAGAAAATGGATTGAAATCCACTTGAAACTTCCTTTCTCTCTCTAAAATCTCCCTATCCTTTTCTCTCTCTGTCTAAATAATAGCTTAAGGGGGATTTTGATTTTAACCAAAATAGAAATGAAGTGGAATTTATTTTTTTTTTTTAAATTGAAACCATTTTGTGGCGCTCCAAACAACGGTGCTCTGCGCCAACACTTCAAATTAAAATGAACAATCTCGAGAGCTTAGCGCCACAATGCCCCTAAACCCAGTGTCAAAGCACTCCCAAGGGAAAATTTTAGACGTCATGTTTCATGCATACATGCCCTCCGGATTTGCTTCAAAAGAGAGTTCAAACATTCATATACATATCATTCTCAAATTCATACATTATGAAAATATAAAAGCTCCATTAAACAAAAATTATCTGACAGGGTCATATTAGGTGTTGATATATCACCAAAAAATTATCTTGATCGGGCACGAATATCAAAATATATTCAAGTTAGGAACTTCCAAAATTAAATCTGGAGTTGTCTGAACTTTGATTTCATCAAACTGCTAGTCGAATTGAATGTCTCGAGAAGAAGAATCCAACGACACCAAATTCAACTCGATCCGGGCCCAAATGGGTCCAAATTGAAGACCTAAAGTGCATTTGAAAGGTTCAAATCATAAATTGGATG